AGGACTTGTGTCGCTAAAGTTTCGTTGGAACGAATTTTACGGAAAATTAATTAACGAACGAACGGAGACGTAACAATATTTTAGAATTATCTTAGTTTAAAACCTAACTGCTATTTTTAAGAAAAAAGTCACATAAAGAATTTGAAACGCTGTTGACCAACAAAATTATTTTTGTTTCACTTAAAAATATGTTCTTCTCATGGTTTTAGAAAATTTCTACCTTAAATAACAAGTTAAAATTCCCTGTGCTCTCCAAATTTCGTATTAAAATCTGAGATAGTCTTACAGGTTTAGAACTGATGTATTTAAAAAATAAAGAAAACACTTATAACAAAATTGACATAAGATTTAATTCTGAATGTTTTGGAGTAATTTTTTGTAAAGCACAAAGCTACACAATGAGCTACCTGTGCTCGCCCACCACAGGTATCGAAACCAGAATTCTAGTGTCGTAAGCCTGTAGCCTTATCGCTAAGCCACATCGAATTAATCATTTTGGAAATGAGGCTAAACTAATACTGATAATTATTACATGTAAATGAATTGGCTTATGACTTGTTATGATGAAGGGGAGGTAAAAAACGTTTCATGACAATAAAAAGTATTTTGTAACGCCTTCTTATGATGATGAAGACAAACGAACGCCGATTTTATTGGTTTGATTTAAAGTATTCTGCAACTATGTCTTATGATGTCTTGTTTAAAGAAAGTATTCTGTGAATATGTTCTATTATATCTTACTTACATAAAGTATACTGCCACCATGTCTTATTTATGGAAGGTGACTTTTGAATTTGGTTTTGGTAACGATAAAAAAAAATTGCCAATATATTCATATAATATTCAAGTAAAGTATGCAGTGTCTTATTCGTTCTGTAGCTTCTTTTGGCGCCTTTTTTTGTAATTTATAAGTGTCCGATAATTTACTGGTATTGTTGTGACGAATACAGAAAAATTCGAAAAGTGTCCTGTAACTTTTTTTTCTAGCGTTGGGAGGATATAGATACTTATGTCTCCACAGAGAGACATACTGTTTTTCTATTGTTTCTTCTTCTTCAAAACATTTTTCAATCGACCGCCATTCCTTCATTTGTTGGCGGATTGACTTGAAACTTGGTAAGGTTATACCTCGATCTAATACACCCAGACACCTTTTTAATTTTTTCTTTTAGGCCTTTTTAAGGATTTTATGAGGTCAAAGGTGAAACAACACCAAAAAAAGTATATTTTGGGCTTCTGTGTGGTCGTGTTTACAGCAATTAAGATGAAAGTTGGCACACATATAAATTTTTAAGCGTCCAACACACTGACATACAAAAAAGTTGTTCAGTCTTTTGAGGGGAGTCAGAGCTCACAAAAAATCACAATTTTGTGGTTATTGGTCCATTACTCGACTGTATTTCGACCAATTTACAAACATACTTTTCTACAGGTCCCAAACACTGACAAACAAAAATGGTGGACTTGTCCATTTTTAGTAATTATATGGGGTCAAGATGACATAAAAACATAATTTTATGGTTTTATGACAATTACTCCGCCGCATTTTGATCAATTAACATGGGATTTGGCACAAAGATATTTATTTACAGGTCCCAAACAGAGATACAGACAATTTTGGGATTTTTGTCCGTTTCTCAATTTTTCAGTTTGGAGTTTTCGTGAACTATTCACATGTATGTAAAACAACTTACAATACATCTTCTTTCAGGTCCCAAGCAGTGATATTGACAATTTTTGATTTTTCTGGTGTCAAAATTTGCCATGTTGGGATTGCGTGGCGGAAACATATTGCATTCGCTCGCGAATGTTGGCCTCTTTAATTGTCAATGATTTTGTGGAAAGTGTATCAGGACTTGGTTATAATGGTATTAGGAGAGAAGTGCGCTGATATTTATTACTTTTTACGATTATATCTCTAAGAAGAGATGTAAAATATAAACTATGAATGTGGTGATAGAAAATTATTTACACTAAGGTTAAAACGTAATCATTTCTTTCCTAACTAATCTTCGAAGCTTGACTGCTCGTCGTCGTGATGCGTTCAAATGTAGCAAATAAAATCACTTAAAATAATATAGAAACGAGTTTTATTAGCTATATCATCCTACAATGCAGAACAGAAACGAAAAAAAACAAACTAGTAACTATCATTTTGTAGGTCAGTTTATCCATATTTGTCTATAATACCATTAATACGTCATTTGATCTACATTGCCTTTTTCACTTTGTAAATTTTATTAAAATATCGAAGTTTTATGGTTATGTTTACAAATATGTAAATATGTTGTTTATCGATGACATAATACGATAATTGGTTAATTACATTAGCTTTGCTCTAACAATATAAATAATATTCGAAATAACGTAATTCTTTGTAAATAAATTTAAAAAGGGAAAAAATCATTTTCTTTTCGCTTTATGGATGGATGTATGAATGAATAAATAGCTTTAAAACCAGTTTACAATATTTGTGACCCTTTCTGTCAAGTTGCCAAAAAAGGCTCCATAATCCTTCTCTGATTGGAACTCATTAGATGGCGTCTTTCTGAAAAAGCTTGTTTTGATCTATTCATACAAAACAAAGCAAAAAGAAACAGCAGTAACAACAAAAACATATATTTACTATGATAAAAACCAAGTTCTTCTTTCACACTGTGCTTTTTGAGTACGATACACCGTTTATGAATAAAAAAATGCTTTTTTAATGCCGTAGGTAAATTTTAGTTTAAACATGTTATAGAATTGTTTTCTTTTATATTTAGAAATGTGAGTTATTTGAGAACTTAAAATTTGAAATTAGTGAATAATAAAGTACAATAAATAACTTGAATTACAAAGTATAAAACCTAAGCTGTGGTATATCTCTGCATGACTGGTCCATGAACATTCCTCAGGACTTCTTAATTATACAGTATAAATAAGCCTAGAAAATTATTCCCAGGGTCGAACCTGACAAGATGGAGAAAGGTGGTTAGTTCTTGTGACACCTACCCTTTCAACACACGTTGAAGAAACTTTCTCAGTCCGATCACAGACATTAATGGACTAGAGATGCATTACGTATAATCGAGTCAGAGTGTATGGAGCCACGTGGTTGTAACTCTTGATAAGCAAGCACTCTGTGTCAATGAACCCTTTGAACCTGGGCATGTGGATTAGCTAATGTAGAGTCTGAAGCCGAGAACGTTCTATTGGGTTTACTTTCTACAACAACAAAAACAAACAAACAAATAACTATTTTATGACCAGTCTACCCATTTTCTGTAAAGCTGACTAACACTTGACTAGACGAAGGCTTATCTGACTTATGAATCAATTACTGAGCTCCGGCCATCATGATCATAGTCCATCGTTTCTCGCGATTGGTTTTAAAGTCTTCTAAAGAGAGTAAAATCAGGTCCTCACACCACTGTCTAAGGAGGTAGGATTTGAAGTCTAAGTTTCAAACTAACATACCACATTCTTTATATATATTGACAGGGCTTAGCCAGGGGCTTGTAAACGTTGTTCCACATTCATCTTAACTTTAAGGCTTAACACGGACATTTTAATCCCATAGGGAGGTGTGGTATGACACACAGAGACTCGAAAACCACATTCTACATTAATAAGGAATTACAACTTAACACAGTTATCTGTAAACAACTTTCGATAATCGGCTTAACTCACAGCCTTGTATACCATAGTTCATATTCACTGATGGCAATGCACTTCAACCTATACATCTGTATACAACTAAGTTCTAAGTGGAAACTACGTCTTATCCCACAAACTTGTAAATACTCAAACCAATCTGGCTTCACACATCCACATTCAATAGGTGTTAAACACGGCTATCCATTAAAAATCATAAATCTTATAATAAAACTGTGTAATTTTCGTCTTTTTCTTTCCTTCAGTTTTCTGTACATCTTTCGTTAAAACTGTAATTTCCTTCTTTTCTTCTTTCCTATATGTCTTTGATCAAACTGTGTAATTTCTGCTTCTTTTTTTTCTAGGTCTTCTATCGTTTATAATAGAATCTAACAATCAGATGTGGTCTATGTGTCTTATTTCAAACAGTTTAGTTCGTCCAACACCACAGGGCAAATATCTTTGTTCCAAAATCATACACAGTTTGCATGAGGTCACAAAATCGACAACTTTGCGAGGAAAAGTAGATCTCCAACTTGACACTTTCTACAGGACAGTAAAGGCTTTCCAGGAGATGCCAAAGTGGCACTCTCAAAAGTGGCCAAGCTGACACTCATGTTGGAGGTTAGGTCAAAAGTTTGAAGAACATAATTGCCAAACTAATGTTGATGAAAAGGACGATCATGACGAGTTGTTGACGCGACAACCAATCCTACAGAGAGAGAGAAAAAATAGCTTTGTAATTATCGTGCATGTCAAGACAAATTTACTACTTTAATATATTGATAACTCTGCCACAAAATCTTATGATGAATTGAGATAGTTATATATTTTTCAGTTTCTCATTCTGCTAATTTGGTAAATACGACTTTCAGCTAGATGATGTTAATTTAGAGACATTTGTGTTTCATGTCATTGTATTTAGATTTTTATCTAATTAATGAATTTAATTTTCAGTAATTTATTTAAGATTATAAAATTGAAATTATGTCACTTTTGATTCAGAGAAATTTGTGTTTTATGTCAATATATTTAGATTTTTATTTTGTTAATTATTTTAATTTTCGGTAGTTTATTTTAAGATTACAAAATTGAAACTTATATACCTTTGCTATTGATGCTTACTATTAATTACTTTGAAGATTTGGTAAACTGAGAAGCAGTCGAGTGATACAGAAAAAGCACCATTCATTTTTAAACCTGAATAAAATAGAAAACTTTCAAGTCGTGTCTTTCTTATTCATTTATCATCGCTTTGGCTGTCTTTTAAACTTTTTGGTGTATATATGTCTGAAGCAGTCAAGAATGTTCTACAAATGTATTATATACTGATGATTAAGATCTAGAGTTGATTGTCTGAATCAACTAAAAAACTTATCTTACTAATATAGCCTGGCATGGCTTGGGGGGTTAGGGCGCTCGGTTCGTAATCTGAGGTCGCAGGTTCGAATCCCCGTCACCGAACACGCTCGCACTTTCAGCCGTGAGGGCATTATAACGTGACGGCCAATCCAACTACTCGTTGCCTAGTTGCAGTCTCTCTAGTCTATCGCTGCTAAATTAGGAACGGCTAGTGCAGATAGCCCTCTAGTAGGTTTGCTCGAAATCCCCCCCCCCCAAAAAATTAATATAGTAAAAGAGGCGAGTAGCGATAAGAGACTGAATCTAACTACACCCATTATTTCAAGGTACGCTCATTCCCTGTCAGAGTATAAGCGAGGTTTGGTTTGGTTATTGTTGAGTTACACAATGGGTTATCCGTGCTTTGCCCACCACGGGTATGAAAACCCCATTGTTAATATCGTAAGCCTGCTGACTCACCGCTGAGCCACTGGGAGACATATATAAACGAGATGTAACAATGTAGGAGTTAAATGAGTTCGTATTAAAAGGTTTCTAGAGTTCATTTTGCAGCTAATAATAATTGAGAATAAATGTTAAGTTATCAAGTGATAAACGCCAGCTTTTTGGATCGTGTTTATATCTTGGAAGCCGTCCAAGCAAAGAGCATAGGAACCGTTAGATGGCACCAGAGTGACTAAATTATCGCCGTTATCGTAACTTAGAGTATACGCAATCGTTGAATAACCTAACTAGTACACTAAGAATTCTCTAGTGGTTGCAGATACTAGGACGAATTGGATGATGTGCCATATTTACTCGTACATAAACGCTGTGGAAATAAAATTGTTTGTAGAAATAAAAATCTAGTCTTCCCAGCATTTTCAATAGTGAATCAAAGCTGCACCTCTTAACCGATGGCGGTGCTATAACGAGAAAGAAGACTCATTGTGCGTGCTGGCACAAGGCTTAACGGATGGACTAATTTGGCCAAGATATGCACGTGTTGGGGATCGTATTGCTGGCACAAGGACTATCTCGTGTTCAAGATATCAGGCTGATGAACATGTGTGTAGTAAACGCTCTCTGTAGCTTTGGGTAACGTTGTACCGTAGAACCGAGCCGAAAGAGCTTCTAAATCAATACTGCTACACACAATGACGTAGAGCACAAATACATCCAAGCGCTCTTCCATTGCACTAGCTATCATTACCAGCATCAGTGGAGCTTGAGGTTTCTACGTACTGCTTGGAAGATGTGTAATATTAGAAAGAACAATTTGAGATATGGAGTAAAATAACTCAAAGAGCAACATCAGATATAAAAGCAAGAATCTATCAAAAATGCTTAAGAAAAAAGTATTCTTTCGAACAAAAGCGAAAATGTTATAGCATGATTAAGACACTCGATCGTAATGATATAACTTTAAATATTAGCTCTGAAAGATAAGAAATGAAGCTGTAAAAAATGCAATTTGAAATATTAGCTGAAAGATCCATCATGAAAGTATAAGCTTTAAACACAAAAGAGCGTGTAAAAGACCACATCAGATGTAATAGTATAAGTGATTTTACAGGTGGCTATACTCGATGAATAGCTATATTGGTCTCATTGCGTGGGTGAACATATTTAAGATAACAAGAGAATATTTTGATTGTGTTGCTGGTTGTGCTGAAGAGATGATTGATTTATTTCACATATATAATTAATTACAACAAGAAAATGTCTACATTTTGATTGTTTAACTCATTACAATGATGACGTATAACTAAGCTATTTTAATTGTGCAGCTAATTATAGTGAAGAAATAATCAGTAATTTCTCCAGTATAATCAATTATCTTTACAACCGGAAAATATTTTAAACTTGTCTTCTTTAAAATCTGTAGCACAAATACAAAGATCTCGTTCTGTCTCCACTTATAATCCCCTACACAATCAGAACAGTTTAGTTATTTCATCTAGACAATCAGAACAAACTAGTTTATCTTCAGCGTAAGTAGACACATAAACAGAACAATAACGTTATTATTCCACATCATCTGGACAATCAGAACAACTTATAATTATCACGTACACAATCGAGACAATCTACCTATTTTCTCACATCATCTAGACAATCGGGATAATGTAGATTTATCTAGCCTAATCACACAATCAGAACAATATTACTATTTTTCCAGTGTCGTAAATCCAGTATCATTTAGATCATCAGAAAGATTACAGTATTAATCCAGTGTAATCAGAATATTTTAGTTATTTTTACAGTATCATATAGATAGATGTAATAATATAATGTGATTGTCTCTTTATTGGCTTTCCCACATAAAACGGTTAATCTTATTCCATAATATCTGAGCTTTTTTCTACATAATAAGTACTTGTGCTTGAAAAAATTATATAATTTAGTTAAGTAATTGTATAATATAATAGGTTGTCAACTTTGAATTATTTTGTGTGTAAAATGCTGTTTAAAAAGAAAACATTAGAAAATACTTTTTTCGTCTTAGAGCTCCTGTTATTTAGTGTGCCTAAAATTATATAGATGTATTCAATAGTTATCTATTCAATAAAACTATAATTAGTGTGTCTGTTTTATTTTAATAATGGCATAGTCTCTTGCATACAAAGAAAGTAACTGTTAAAAAATAAAAAAAGACAGAAATAAAATTGGATTTTTTAATAATATTATTAATACTAAAGTTCCATTTGATATATTCAATTAGTTTTGACTTGTTTTATTTATATTTGTTATTTATCTTTACTTACTGAAGCAGTTATGAAGCCATTTATATCGCATAAAACACTGATGAACAGTAAAAGCGTTGACCAGTAGAAACACAATTTGCACTCATAGCCTAAGCCTACACTAATATAGACGATATTTTTCCAATTATACATTTGATCAAGATCAATTTATCTTTATTAATTATTATTTGTTTTCAATAATTGAGGAGTTCTTTCACTTATACGTATGTGTTGTTTGAGTAATAAATAAAAAAAAAGCTTTCCAGTCATCTGAATAATTTGCCGTCGCAGAACCCAGTTCACCATATTCACTAACCCTTAATATCCTTAATTTATGTCTTTTCATATAAGAATATTCCTGTAGTTTTAAAACAGACATAATGTAACACAAAATATTATCAAAACAAACTATAGAAAAATCCCAGGCTTATGGCTTTTATCTAAGTACGTATTCAAACTTGACGTAGATAGACAATAATCTTTTTTGTCCAAAAATCTTTTATTGTTAGTTCTATATTGTTTGAAGGTTAAGATTTATTAGTCTGCTGTCCAACCTTGGCTAACCAAATAAGTGGTAAATTATATACTTGGGGAGAATCATAGTTCTCTACAACTTGAAAAGCTAGGAAATGACCTAAGCAGTCTCAGAATCGTAGAGAGAGTACAGGATAATAAATAAAAAAGGCGATATTTGATGAGTTGGGTCCCCCCCTCTCCGGTGGGTCAGTGATAAGTTTACGGTTTTAGAACGGAAAAATCAGGGGTTATATTCCCAGCAGTGTACACAGCAGATAGCCCAATGTGGCTTGGCACTGTAAAGCAAACACACAAACACAAATTGATGAGTTGGAAACTTAAACTTTTAACAAGATTTCGTAGAGTTCATTAAACAGTTGTAGATAATTACAAACCAAAACCGGCGCCAGGTTTTCTGCGGGTCTCATCCGGAGACTTATAATAGGGTCCCTTAAATCTTAGATCAGTTTTATAAGAAATATAAAATGGACACTCAATTGAAAAAACGTACATGACTTACTAAAAAATAACAGTTCTATAATACATTACAAATACGAGTACTGAGAGATGTGATTGAGGACTCTTTGTACCCCTCTCCTACCTCAGCGCCGGTACTGACATAAACAGAGACAAATGAAATTATATCGCAGCCAACTCCATTTTTTTATATATAAAAAGTGATGATAAAGAATTGGCTCTAATAATTCGGATATTCTTTCATCAAAGTGAAACAATTTCATCATATATTGAAAACAAAAAAACAAAAGAAAGACAACTGAGTTTTGGATAAAAACCCTATAACCCGAGTGCTTCGTAAGGTAGACCTTTTTTTTCTTCAGGGGCAAACTGAATAAGAAAGGTCCACCTTTCGAGAGCGCTCGGGTTATAGGGTTTTTATTCATTTCTATCAAGACTGCTTGAACCACGTGTTTTTCTAACATCATGAACTGAGCTTTGGAAATGTTTAGCATTCTGTTCTCTGTTATTATTACATATACATTCTGCATTATAGAATATACATTTGCTCCCTTTTGGCACTAGAGTGTGTGTGTGTATATATGAATAGCTATACACAATCACAGAGATTATGAAAACTAAATACAAAACCGAAAGCTAAAGTGTAGGTTTCACTGAAGGCATATTTTGCATTAGGAACGCCATCTGGATTTCATATGCTGTTTGATATAACTTTGAGACAGTGTTTTAAAGGTAAAATGCTTACCCTAAAATCAGGATTAAACAAGTATAAGAGAGGATTTGCTCGGAGCCTCTCAGCTTCTTCATGGCTTCTACGGATTTCCTCGCGTCGTTGAGAGCTCAGCTCGGCCACCTCCTCCCTGGACATAACATAGGTCTTTTCAACGAGAGACTCGACATTAGGCAGGCTTTTCTTCCGTTTGAGAGGTCCAGTATGATTCGGTTGTAGCTGGCCTTCCTCTCCATCACCTTCCGCAAGAAATGCTTCTGCTTGGAAGTTTTCAGCATACAGGTTTGGTAGAGTCGAGCGGCGGGGCACACGACCTGGAGACTGTTCCTCACCGTCCATTGTCTCAGACACTCCTGAGTCAGGGGTACAGTCCTGGCGCTGGCGAAGAGGGGCGAGGATTATGGTGGGAGGATTGGTTGTTTTACGGGAATGCTTAGCTCGAGATCGAGAATTGCTGGGATTGGACCGATATTGATCAAAATGTTCGGCGAGGGCGTTTTGGAAGGTATAACTTCTTTCACTATCCGGTGGGTTGGGTTCTCTAGCCCGGCGGAATGACCCCTGAGGAGAGCAATTTAGTGGTTCACCTCTCGAGGGGTCAAGGAAACTAGAAGGTTTCCGTCCCCCTTGGTAAAGCTCTGGTGCTGGGGTTGGAGCTCGAGATCCTTGAGGTGTTCTGGCACTAAAGTCATCGATGTTAAGAGTCAACCCCTCGACAGCGGGACTTTCTACATCTTTTTGGATCCCAGGATTATCCGAGATGTTATCACGTGAGGCACTTACTGACGGAGAGTAAAGAGATCTGGACCTCTGGGGTGTATCCTGATGAGGGTTTCCAGATACTCGGAGCTTGCTGACCTCAGGAAGATTTGTCCTTAACAGGTGAAATCCTGAAAACAAATAGGAATTATTTAAATGATATTCCAACCAAACTAATTATACCTTATATTTTATCTTAAAATAAATTCTGAAAATTTTGAATGTGTGTCCATTCAGCTTAAACTCCTCTTGGAGATTTTATAAAAGGAATTTTGCCTGGTTTTATAAATTAATATTAGATAACGGTAATATTATACATAAGCAAGGAAAAACACTCATACGTCCAAAATATACGCATATTGTACCACATCATCATGCAAACTGCTTCTTTATATAATCTTTTATGATATCAAATGGTAATGTTGAATTGTCTCATTATTAAATTATTCACATTTTAGATTACTTACTGAGCATATATTGTTTAAAATATTTTAAGACTGGTCTTATTTGCTATGATAAAACAATGGTGCATGGAACACTGTTGGAATATGTGACACTCCAGTCCATATTTCGTTTTGTTATGTGTTTTGGGTGTGGAAACAACAATGTCGACAGCACTAATAGTAGATTTGACCGAACATTTAATTTCTTTGTCCGTGTTAAATCTGATGAGCAAAAAACTGAACCCTGAAACATTTCATTAGAGCACGTCGAAAGACTTGATGTATATAAGAAAAAACAAACAAACAACAACAAATAAAGACAAAAAACAAACAGGAAGCACGTGTTGCCACACAACTAAAATAAAAGGCAGACATACGATGTTACGGAGACATTTGTTATTGTGCTAAACCAAGAAAATTGAGACACACTAATGCTTATGTATCTCTTAGAAATTATAATAAAGTTCTGGGACACTTGTAACCATGCTAAATCAAGAAAAAAGTATTTTTGCATCAATGATTTGTTTGTTTGTTTGTTTTGGATTTCGCGCAAAGCTACACGAGGGCTATCTGCGCTAGCCGTCCCTAATTTAACAGTATAAGACTAGAGGGAAGGCAGCTAGTCATCACCACCCACCGCCAACTCTTGGGCTACTATTTTACCAACGAATAGTGGGATTGACCGTCACATTATAACGCCCCCACGACTGAAAGGGCGAGCATGTTTGTTGTGATGTGGATTCGAACCCGCGACCCACAGACTGCGAGTCGAGCGCCCTAACCACATTGATGCCGGGCCTGCATCAATGAGAATTCATACGAAATTTTGGGAAATCTTGTCACCATTCTGCACCAAGAAAATGCAGACAAACTGAAACAATGGTCTAATCACACTGCACAAAACAACTGAAATATGGTTGTATTTATAATATGTATTCTAAGATAAGACAAAAATACTATTCTAAAATAATGCCAATTACATTCAATTCATTTTTGTGCAACTGGATTTTTTGAGCTATCACGTTATCTGAATTGCAAATGATTAGTAAATTAATCTTTACTCATAAATGAACATATGATAAAAGAGTTTTTTAAACGTTTACAGCTCATGAAGTTTCACCTCAGCATAAAGCGTGGTTACTACAAATAGCAAGAGCAGCCAGGTCTTGCATGTCTAAAACTCGAGTGTGAGCTGCTTCTCGAGAAGCTTCTACCCTTCGGTGGTGGCCCCATGGTAAGCTTTCGGCTTTAAACACTAAAATTCGGGGTTCGATTCTTGTAATGGATATATTACAAATACCCATTTGGCAAATTTGCGCTAAACAGAATAAAACTTTAGCATCTGGAGTCACTTGACAGGTTGCAAAACGTCTCCCAAAAGTATTCTATACACGTTCGATGGGATTGTAATCTAGGGAGCGTGTAGGTCACCTCATTTGGTCGAGTCACCTTCTTTCAGGAATGTGTCGAAGGGAATGAAGCACTCATTAAGCTAAAGTCAGGTGGAACTTCACTAGTGTTGGGTAGCAGTATAGTCGCGGGATACTGTCCCTTTGATATGTGGCAGGGTATAAACATCGGTACGTTTATTAATGCTTATTCATGACCATATTCCATCAGGGTGACATGTGTAACATGAGCTATATCTGATTCCATATTCCCTCCAAATAAGTGTATGTCTGTTATCTGGCTACAGCGTAAAGCGCGACTCTAATAAAAAGAAAGAATATCAATTCACATGTGTTTGGTTTGTTGGACAATGTTCTCCACTTCACTGCAAGCGAACTGTTTTGTATCTAACAATTTGTATATAATCACAGCGTCCAGTTGCGACTGTAAACATCTGATTCCATCTTAGAACAGGTACTCTAAAATACGTAATCCAGAATATCGACAATCAGTGGTCTTCTGGTTGTATTGTTCATATTCTATTAACGACACTTTGAGATACTCATATCCAATTCGCAAAAGCCTGTTATGATTGGCTGGCTTCCACTGGTCCAATGGCTCTCCACATAAGTGAAATATCCAAGTATTTTTCTTTGAAGTCTAGGCATATCTATGAACATATCTTGAGATCACTGTAAGTAGTATAAGCTGTATGTTCAATTATTTGCTTTTAATGTCATATGGCTATTTGTCACATGCTTGATTTGCATAACAATGGTGCTGAGAGGGTAGCCGATATTATTTTAGAACAGTTAATTTTACACTGTCATAGCTATAACATTACAAATTCCGACTTCCTTTTAATCTCTTTGGGCAGTTTAATATTTGGATATCAGAGGAAAATTTAATATTAGTTTAATTTCATAATGGTCTTGAAAATGTTTGTCATTACTTTAGTAAATAATTAAAGGAGCTATCTGTTTTGATAATAAAGTCCTTCAAACTGGTGAGAAATAATGTTTATGGTCATGAATAAAGGCGAACACATAGTCTTAGACATCCTATATATCGTACAGGTGAAGATAATGTGACCACTTGTCAAGCTCTTCTTGCGTATTTGGTATGTTCTGGTGGTTATGGTACTTGACTCGCAATCTGCTTGCCACAGGTTTGAATCCCGTCACCGAACATGTTCACCATTTCAGCCGTGGGGACATTATAATGTGATAATGCTTGGAGACGGCTTGAATGGGTAATGAAGAAAAACTTTAATATAAGTTTAACATAACAACAAATGTACAACGTTTCGACAAGGTTCTGTCATCATCAGGTAGAGACCTAATGGTATTTCTTTGGCTTGCTGACCTAAGCTATGCTGATGAGCTTTGAATAGGTGAAACCGCAGTCCACAGCAGAAGATACGGCCAATCAAGGAATGCATTAACCCTCTACGTCACACATTCTCTTTTCAATTTCACCTCTGGTGAAAAAGAAGATAAATCTTTAACATATATATATATATATACACAATCATAAAACTTGCATTGTATTCTAAAGTAAAATATACTGACGTCAGAACGACCTAAGAATTCCAAACATTTAAAGATTAATTTTAAATCAAGCAGTTCTGATGTTGGGGCAAATTGATATTCGAACTTTATTAAAAAACTTGAAAACGCGTGAAGCTAATAACAGAGTTACTTATAAGAAGACAACAAGTTTAAATAAGATTTTCAAAATAGACATTTGAAATGTGAGAGATTTTGAAATTCAAAATATTTATATCTTACTATAAAACAAGTGAATTTGAGGTCAGAGAGACTTGAAACTCAATTTATTTAAATATAACGTAAATGCTAATTATTTTCCGTCAGCATGACCTTAGAATACAATAGATCCAAAGTTGACTTTAATATAACAAATAGATCTTCACGTCAGGGAGACTTTGGAATCGAATATATGTATAAGAAGTTACTTGAAAATTAGTGAATTTGACGACTTTGGAGTCAAAACAATTCGCGACCTGATTTTAAAAGAAGTAACTCTGAGCCCAATAACACTTAAAACAAAACATGTGAAGTGCTGATTGGAGTTTTGTCCCATATTTGTTAGGCCTTGAAAAATTTCACGGATTTCCAGCTTAATACAGTATACAAACATAGTATTTATGATAACCTTTTAAATTTCACGAGTCAAGCTTATTTTATAAATTCTGATATTGAACTAAAGAGTTGTTCACCGGCAGATCAACGACAAGTTTATGGACTTAAACTCTAAATTCCGGGGTTCGATTCCTCGCGGTAGACAGAACACATATAGCCTATTGTATAGCTAAAAGTTAAAACAAAAAACTAAATAACTTGGACAATGGAATACAACAGAAGAAATATACATTGATTTATTTTATTCATATCTTTTTTTATACAATACAAGTTGTAAGTCTAATAAGAAAAAAAAAGCTATAAAAACGTGGCAAGAGTGAAAACATTGTTGGTAAAATATCAACAATGACTTTCTCTCCCTCTCTCTCCCTTTCTGTTAAATCATCAAATTGTGTTTGTAATTACAATAAAAACAATTAATTATTTCTTTAAAAGTTTCACTACATAATTGCATCTACTACTTGGGCACCATTAAATGTGAACTTAGCGAGCTTGATCTATTGATATATGTCTTCATAATGATCCATTTATTTTCTACACCTGTTTTAAATCACCAAAATCTCTTGTTGCTCCACAGTTACTTGAAGTAACTGATTAGCAAAGCGATATCAGCCAAAGACTTTACAAGTTTCAATAGGTTGAATGTGACCAAAATAATAAAAATCTAGAATTAAGCAGTGACAAACGAGCAAAGCAAAAATTACTGCTTTACATAATGGAAAGTACTTTCAAATAATTGTTTAAAAACGTGATGTTTCGAAGGGTGCAGTTCAAGTGTTTTGAAAGTTTAAAGACTACAAAATGAAGAAGAGTTACCTAAGAAAAACATCGAGACAGCAGGATAGTGTCGTTCAACAAATTTTAACATCAAGTCGATTCAAATATCGCCGTAAGTAAGAGAGACAATACAGGATAAGTACAGAGTTTGAAACAGTAATAGACTCTACCTGGAAAGTTGCAGCCATAAAGCTTAATAATGTTTTACGTGTGAACATAGTCACGCATTTTAGTCAGAAACAGTTGTAAGAACGAATAGAATAATGTGCTATGAACTGACAGAATAAAAGCTTGTTTTTTGTTTTTCTTTGGAGATTTTAGAAGAGCTTTGTTCGGACACGTGATCATAAGAAATTAAAG